TTCGTCGACATGACATAAACTATAAAGCAGCGGGTGAATTGAGCTTAAATCCAAATTTTTATCCAAATCGATCCAAGGCGAAATCATTTTTTTAGAATTAGTAATTTTTTACATTAATCTCTAACAAGGGTTGCTTTTTAAGGGTTAAAATTAAATGGAACTCTATTCAAAAGTATAAAATAATCATTATTTAACTAATTCAAACCAAATCTTACCCATATTCACGTTTAATATGTTATTTTATAATTTTTGACAATTAGTTGTAGTTTTCACCCCTAAAACCCTTCAGCGCACTTCGGTTCGATATAGATTTTGATCCTTGGGCTATTACCTACCTTCTGCTAAAATTTTAACTGGATACATGCAGGATGAAAAAATTGCGAGGTTTTAACTTTTTTGGAACTTTATTTCCAGAACTATTATCGCCTCCTTAGACAAACCCGTCTTACGCAAACAACTTTGTTGCGAGACAGATAGTTGAACGATATTTTATACAATGTCTATACCCAGATATGGATTTATTTTTGTCCAAGTTTTATATTGGTCCACTATTTCAAATGCAGTTCAAACAGACATGTATTGAATTGTATGTTCCGTTTTAATTTGGTTCAATCTGTATATGACTTACCAAAACGTAAAACGTGACACAGACATTAACGAACTGACATATAAAAGTTGATATCTGATATCTCATTGTTTACTGTCATTAGTATATAATTATTTTTATATGAGCGTATCGTTGATGTTTTCGAAAAAGGTAAGGTGGAGATATGTTATGACTTTAAGAGCTTTTTATGATGTTATATTATTATTGTTTAAATCAGATTGAAATATATTTTATTTAGGTTTTGTGTATCTTTTTTGTCATTTATTGCGTTGGTGTTTCTTTTTATTTATATTGATTCGTATATCTCCCTCTTCTTTTTGTTTTTTTCTGTTTTTAAAATTCTGATGTTTTCAAAATCAAATTTGTGCTTCTTCCCGCTTTCATGTTTTGTGAGCGCAGTGACGTTGTTCTTGTCGTATTTATGAGAACGAATTCTGGATTGAAGCAGTTGACTGGTTTGACCGATATAGAATAACAACAAATCTTTTAGCCAAACATAATATAACAGTGGCCCACAAAGGCAACAATCTCTTAAATAAATATTTCACAAAACTAAAAACACAAACTCCTAAACTTAAAAAATCACATGTTGTTTAGGAGATACCATGTACTAACTGTGAAGGTGTCTCCTAAAATCATTTTTTAGCTTTCAGTAAGCTCGTTTTTTACAGTTTATTTAAATCTCCATAAATCAGAAGTCTTGTGACTTTATGTTTCTTCATAGAGAGATCGCTAAGCTTCTTCAAGATGTCTTGAGAATTAATAGAACAATTTAATTGTTACTTGGGTATCTCTACCTCATCTGATTTAAATTCAAATCCGAAAGGTTCAACTAATGTCTCCAAAATACTTCCCAAATTAAGTACTTTTCGCACAGAGGTGCCATCTGCATTGATGGCAAAGTACGAAAACCATTTAATAAAATCCTTTTCTGTTCCTTTGAACTATCGAAATGTGCAAACAATTGGAACTTTCAATAAAATCTTGCTAACTCACCAAAAGTTATTTGCGTAATAGTATTGTCAAAATAAAAGTGTTTCTAATATTGTACTATGGTATGAAAGAATCTGAAAGTTTTTCTACCCAATTTTATAGCACTTTTCTTTAAATTTCTGACTTTTACAAAAATGACATCTCAAAAACTTACAAGGAGTTTTTGCCATTAAAAATTCTTTATCGTTAATTTTTTGATCATTCTTCGCTTCCCTCCCTAGCTAATTATTATTTTTTTGTTGTCCATGATGGTCTCAATTAACAACTATCTTTCTTGGCAACCAATAGGCAATCAATATACAAGCTATGAGCCCAATAAGAGGACAGTTTTCTCCCCTTAACAAATGAATCTAGATCTATTTCTTTTAAGATGTTTTCATAGGCATCTGGCTAAGCTAACTCCAATATAAGAGTAACGTCGGCTTTAAATTCCTGCAAGTTCTCAATTACACGCTGGGTTGTCATATCTAGAGCGTTTTTCAAATTGAATAAATTAATTCTGGTAGATTTATTTATAGATCTGTGGACAAGAAAAAAGTCGGTTGTTTTTCTTTCCAAATAACCTCTAGCAATAGCTTAAATTTGTTTAAATTAAATAGACCATGAAGACTTTTCATCAAACAATGGCATTTTAAATCATCTCATATAATGTGTCGATTTTTGTTTTATATATTCCTCCTTTTCTATTTTACCGGGATTTTCTACATCTGCCTCTGTCTCAGTTACTGATTGGTATGTTGTTGGCACCCATTTGTTGTCATCATTTATAATTAGTTACATTAGTTAGTCTACATTTTTCTTTTTCTTCGGTTCTAGAAGTTTATTGGACCACAATTTCCAAAATTTCAAGGAAATTTTTATTCGTCGTTTTCGAATCATCCTATTTATTTCTGGACCTTTTTTTTCACACTCATGATTTTTCTTTCTTTATTATTTGATTTTGTTAAATCTCCCGTTGGTTTTTTAGAATCCTAGTTTACCTTTTCATCGGTTTTTTGAGAAACTTCTTCTACCTTGTTATCACTTTTTCTAGAAACTTTCTATACAGTTTTTCTAGAAACTATCTATACAGTTTTTCGAGAAATTTCAGCAATGTCACTAAATGTTTCATTGACTTTTCCCAATATTGCTTATTCCACTGTTTTGGGTCTTCTATGTTTATGATGAGCACTTCCTTCTATCGTTTTTTAGAAATTGGAGTATTCTTTATTACGTTCCTCTAACTGTTTCCGTAACTGTGTCACCGTAAGATATTTCAGTAATATCATTAACTGAACACACGAATTTTTTTTCTAAAGTGTTTTTTTATTTGTCTTTATCGCAGTCCAAAAAGTTAACGCACACCGATTATTGTTTTTATAGCCCAGAATACACTTTTAAAAGTCCCATGTCTTTATTATTTACATGTAATGACACAATTTATTTTTAGTTTATACGATATTTAAACTAGACATATGGAAAATAAATCGCAGAATTTAATCCGGTTTTTAGGCTCATATATGGCGTCCTCGTCTTTTCACGTGACTGTTGACTTATAGATGTTTTTATTTAGACCTAAAGTACGGAACTGTATTCGTTATTATATATATATATATATATATATATATATATATATATATATATATATATATATATAAAACTGTTTTGGATGGGTTGGAGTCAATAAAAGGGGCTATTTGTTGACTATTTTTATCAAGAGCTTCTAAAAAATACAAAATGTCTTACAAAGTTGAACTAGAAATAAAAAATTTTGTTGTTAACTCACCAAATAAAATTAGTTTTTTATATAAAGCTGCTGCTAACATTATTACAAAAAATATTATTAAAAAAATGCCCTATTCTAATAAATGTTTTTCTGAAATTAATTTTGATAAAGTTTCTTAACAAAAAACAATTGAATTTGTAAACAAAAATTGAATAGCTACAATTCAGCCTAAATGTCGTAAATACCAACTTAAAAATTTTTATTTTATTTATTTTTCTGACATATTGTCAAAAATAAAATTTTGTTTAAAAAATTATTTTTTGTTTAGTAATAAAAAAGAAGAAGATTTATTCACCATTGATAGATACCTGAAAAAATGTAACAAATACATGGAAAATTCAAAATGTGATATTTTACTGATTGCATATATAAATTACATAGAAATAATATAATTATAAATCTTGCTTAGATTTTGAATTTCTGACCTTTTGTTTAAATTATTATCACTTTTGCTAATACAAACCATTTCCAAAAAAGTTCTTTTAAATTTAAATTTATTACTTTCACTACATAAAATTTTAATATTATTAAAACCCATAATATGGTCTTTGTCTATTACATGCTCTGCCAAAGCACAAGATGGTTTCTTAATTCTGCAATCATTTTTGTGAGAAATAATGCGATTTGAGAGATTTCTTCCAGTCTCACCTAATATCCTATAGACAAATAGGATAATAGGATATTTTAACATCCTATAGACAATTTAGATCAAACAAATGTAGTATACAGCATTGGTTGTACTCAGTGTGAAGCTGAGTATGTTGGTGAGACTGGAAGAAATCTCTCAAATCGCATTATTTCTCACAAAAATGATTGCAGAATTAAGAAACCATCTTGTGCTTTGGCAGAGCATGTAATAGACAAAGACCATATTATGGGTTTTGATAATATTAAAATTTTATGTAGTGAAAGTAATAAATTTAAATTTAAAAGAACTTTTTTGGAAATGGTTTGTATTAGCAAAAGTGATAATAATTTAAACAAAAGGTCAGAAATTCAAAATCTAAGCAAAATTTGTAATTATTTTATTTCTATGTAATTTATATATGCAATCAGTAAAATATCACATTTTGAATTTTCCATGTATTTGTTACATTTTTTCGGGCATCTATCAATGGTGAATAATTCTTTTTTGTTACTAAACAAAGAAGAATGTTTTAAACAAAATTTTATTTTTGACAATATGTCAGAAATAAAATTTTTTAAGTTGGTATTTACCAACTTAAAAAGTATTGGTATTTAATATTTTTTGTAATAATGTTAGCAGCAGCTTTATATAAAAAACTAATTTTATTTGGTGAGTTAACAACAAAATTTTTTATTTCTAGTTCAACTTTGTAAGATATTTTGTATTTTTTAGAAGCTCTTGATAAAAATTGTAATCACAATTGAAAGCTCGAGTAAAAAATAGTCAACAAATAGCCCCTTTTATTGACTCCAACCCATCCAAAACAGTTTTATATTTTTTCCAAACGTCACAAATACTTCTTTTTTCTTACTCTTATATATATATATATATATATATATATATATATATATATTATATATATATTATATTATATATATATATATATATATATATATATATATATATATTATATAATAATATATGGTAAATCTATTTTTTATTTTTAGTCGAGCTATTCTGGAGCTTCACCAAAGCGAAGGACTCCACGATTTGGGTGCCATCAAATGGGACATTGCGCTGTGCCTTTTAGCTGTATACGTTATTTGTTACTTTTCTCTGTGGAAAGGAATTTCCACTTCGGGAAAAGTGGTGTGGTTCACAGCTTTATTTCCTTACGCCGTTCTGTTGATACTTTTAGTTCGAGGGATCACTCTGCCTGGGTCTGCGGAAGGGATTCAGTACTATTTGAATCCGAATTTTAGTGCTATTGGATCTGCAGAAGTAAGTATTTTTAAACCTATATAAAAGTGATAAATATTACGAAAGTATAACAATTTTATATATAGATAGATAGAAGATAGACTGACAACTTTAGACATGATAAATACTTTAAAAAACACATTAACATCTTAGAACATTTTTTGGTAGAAACAACACTAAATACTATGGATGAAAATGAGTTTTTAAACTAATGAATAAGGTGAAAAATAAATTTGAAACTTTAATCCAAAAATAGGACTTACAGAAGAACGAACACATTGAAGTCAAAATATCGAGTAACACGAAAGGAAGAAAGCGGAATATAAAGGTCAAAATAAGAGTCGATAGACTTCCCAAAATATTGAAGACCTAAACAGATAAATGAAGTAGATATTTTATAGAAACTTAAATTTTACAAGATTAAAACATTAACCAGAAACACTTAGTGTAAAGACACCGATGAAACTCTATTAACAAACAAGCAAGGTATAATGAAACTGGAAGCTGGGAGGCACATTTGGAATTATTAAATTATACCTGTTACACTAAAAATTATAAACAAAACAGTAACAGCAACGGAAGATGGAGAATATGAAGAAAATTTTGATCAAAATAGATAGAATTAAGGTAAGTCTATAAATGAACGTAAAAAAGTGCCAAAGCTCGTTTACAGAAAGACTGAGGGGTCGATTTAAACATCATAACCATTACGGATCAGTCTTATCTATCAATATGGTAGATTAGTTTTTGTGTTACTAGAATATGTATAGTCAATCACTAGCAATAATATTTAATCGTACTGAATAGTGTGTGTTATAACATGACCTGTGAATTAGTTTTTTTTAAATACCTCCAGAACGATTCTAATTAGAAAAACTAAAACTGCTACGATCATTTATCCTTTAGAGCTGAATCAATTCCATTAATTCCAAATTTCTAGTATCGGTCATGGGCGTCTTTTTGGGTAGGTCAACGGTTATTTTCGGGTATTCTAGTCTTTAAACGTACTTCTCTTTTAAGTTGGTAAGATACACCGTTTGTAGAAAAATTAATTTGAAAATTTTTCGTTTTTTCGTCATGAAAGTTTAATTAAATTTTTTTGTGCGAGATGATTTTGAACTGCCAACAGAAGTATAACGTATTTTTTCATTGTCAAATTTTTCTCAGTTCGCAAAGTTAAGTTTTTTATTATTAAATTAGGTCTAATTTCGAGCACGACGTAGATACGCTGAAACATTTCACAATCGTGAGCATATTACTCAGCATTTACATCTCTTTATCAAAGACTAACAGAAACAGGTTCAAAGGTCCCAAAAAAATAATAAAACAGGGCGATATAATCATGTAATAGCAGCCAGAAATTAGTGTTCAAAGACTATCTGCCATGTATCCTACAATTTTAAAATCTCTCGTAGAAAATATCTTACACAAAGAAAATTTATATCCTTTTCATTTTCCGAAGGTACAAGCAAAGCCACAATGAGATTTTGTTGCTCGTGAATAATTCGCTAAATGGTTACAAGATCAGAAAAATCAAAATTGAGATTCTTTTAGATATATTTTGTTTTGCAACGAAGTTACATTCACAAAAAATGAAATTTTTAATATACATAATGCACATTATTATTGGTTTTAAAAACTTTTTAAGAAAATTTTGTTTGAATTTGATTTTTGCTCTTTTTACATAATTTTAAGATTTGCGTGCTGCATTTATTGAAATAAAAGATAATTGATAAAATTAATTTAGATACCTATTAATTTAATTTTAATGACGAAAAAAAATTTCAAATCGATTTTTCTAGAAAACGGTGTATCCTGCAGACTTAAAGTGACAGTACGTTTTAGTAATACAATACCTGAAAATTAAATAATCTAGTACCACAAATGCTTAAGTTAAAGGCAAAAAAGTTATACGTTAAAATAACCGTTGACCTACCCAAAACGGACGCCTATGACCGGTACTAGAAATTCACAATTGATGTAATTGATTCAACTCTAGAGAATTAATATTCATACAGGTTTTTGTTTTTCTAAAGAGAAGAGTTCTGGAGGTATTAAAAAAAACTAATTACAAGGCACCATCTTCAAAGATCTCTAGCTCCCTTAGGAAGTATTTTCTTTGTTTGTCAGGAGAGTTTCTGAACACCCTGTATAAATATTGTGTTGTTATAAGTAATATATTGTTTCTTTTCAGGTATGGGTGGATGCAGCCACTCAAGTATTTTTTTCGTTGGGTCCTGGTTTTGGAGTTCTGCTAGCGTACGCTTCTTATAATAAATACCACAACAATGTTTACAAGTAAGTAACCATTATTTTTTATCAATTCTCTATATTTTCTATGGTTATATTGCCTTGAAGGTAATCGTACCCTTTATATTTATACCAACAGGTCTCATTTTATTAATAGGTTAGGTTAGGTCATAATATACAAAGCGTATTTTACTAAGTTTACAAAAATAAAAACGATTAGTAAATTTTAGGATTTTGTATTTTTGAAAAATTAGACATTAATTCTTGATTAGTGTAGTAATTCGAGCAAAAAGTGTTATATTACCTATTCTTTGCATTCTTACAACATTAAACAATTGAAAATTTATAAATATTGTGCCGTAGGTTAAATTAATTATACTTCTACATTATACGTAGCTAATGATGCTTTTAGATTATTCTATCAGTTTTTAAAATATTGTATAAATTAAAATGCATTGTAATAAACCAAAGGCTTATAGACAGATTCAAAAATATAATGATCATAACACTTTGGGCAACTTTACCGTTTTTGTTGATTATGTGCAAAGAACTCTTTTTAAATCGACTATCTACATATCTCCTTTGCATCGTAGTTTTTGATAATAATTGATATTTTTACGATTTACGAAGGAACAAAGGATTTTGTGATGATTTTCAACCATTTCGAGCAGTTACTTATATAAAAGTTCTTTAATTGCATTCTCAATTTTTCTCTGAAGTGCACCAATATCAGAAATTTTTTTCTAAAGTTTGGCGAAGGTGCCAAGATAAATTAAAATTTGCTATTTTCTTTTCTTTCGCGGAGTCTTAATCATAAGTATCCTGGATCATAGCAATATCGATCCTTTTCACAAACATATTCTGCCTCAATATCTGCTACCAGGTCTTTGGTTTTTTTCTCCTACTACTTCCAGGAAATTGCAATTCAACAATTTTTCGTATTGTGTGATTAGTATCTCGATGTTGAAAATACCCTAACCATCCAAACTTTTAAATGTAGGTAATCTCCAAACCCAGTTATTAACATTGGCAAATTCATCACGTAAGTCTACCGAAAAATATTGTAGATTACATGATAACAAATATAAAGAGAGAGCAGTGAAGAAGTCAAATATCGCACACTCTCACTTAACCCTTTCACTCCTGTCGGGATATATATATATATATATATATATATATATATATATATATATATATATATATATATATATATCCCAACATATGATTGAAAAATTCTGAATGTTTTAAACTGGCTTAAAACTGCATTGGGACGGGATATTTCAGTAGACTGTGGCATTTCTTATAACGTGAAATCGAGTATCCACCGTCAGCATCAAATTTTAACCTAAAATTTAGTGTAATATGAACACGTTGTGAGTACGATCATATAAAACTGTGTTGATAACATATTTCTGTTGGCGTAAGGATAATTTTGGTTGCTGATTGTGAATTATAAAAGATTACGATAGGTGAGTACATAATTTAATATTGCCGCTCAGTACGAAATTTATCGTAATGGGCAATAAATTTTGAATGGGATTATATATCCCAACAGGTGTTTTTGCTGGGAAATATTATCCCGACAGGTATAAACAACTTCCTTTTTTTAGTATGGATCGAAAGAAACAGAAACTTACCGAAGATGAACTTGATTACTATGCTAATAGCATTGATGAAATTGAAAGTATAGACTATAGTAGTGATGATAGTAAGGTGGATAAGGACTTCATTTTGTCATCAGATGAACTAAGTGAGAAAAGTTCACTTGAAAGTGAAGTGAATATAGGTAATGAAACTGAGAATGCAGCTCAAATTTCAGATCAGGAATCCTCTGACGATGATGAAGATATCCAAGATGCAGACGAGGTAATGCAACCTTTGCCACCAACTAGTTCAGAATTTTCCACTGTTTGGACTGATGTCAATGCAGAAAATTTTATTCCGAGATATGATCTACCAGCCAGAACAGCCCCAGTTATTACAGATCAATTGAATCGAGGCAGTTCTACATTAGACTGTTTTCTAAAAGTATTTCCTAAAAGTTTGTTTATGTATATGGCCCAGTGTACAAACCGTAGGCTTGAAATTTTAGAAGAGAAAAAGAAGAAAACTTTTGTCAAAACGTGCCAAAAAGAAATGATGCTACTTACTGGTGTTACGTTAGTTATGCATTATAATAGAGTTCCTTTTTTCGCAATGTACTGGTCTATAATAAATCGCTTGGAAACTATTGTATTCGTAGTGCAATATCAAGGGATAGGTGCCAACTACTATTATCAAAATTGTATTTTGCCGAACCCAATCAACCTGCCACAGCAAATAAAACTTATATAGATGATGTTATTTCCTGCTTGAAGACAAGTTTTATGAGAGCTAGAAGGGATTCTACCTATCAAGCAATTGATAAGTCTATGGCAAAATTCAAAGGGCGATCTACATTGAAACAGTATATGCCCCTCAAACCCATAAAACGTGGCATAAAGTTATGGACAAGATGCGATTCAGAAACTGGATATGTTTACGATATAAATGTGTATGCAGGCAAAAATGATAATAAGATGGCAGGTACTTTGGGAGAACGTGTCATAAATCAGTTATCTTCAACAATTTCTAATGAAAATGATGTAATTTGCTTCGACAGATTTTTTACAACAGTTCATCTTATGGATACCATTAGGTTTCCTGCTGTAGGTACATGCATGAGTACCCGAAAAAATTTACCGAAATTTCATGGCAAGCTAAATCGAGGAGAATCGCAAGTAAAAGGTAATGAAACTGGAACATTAGCTATACGATAACGACACAAAAGATTTTATTGTACTAACTAACTGCCATAAGCCAGAAGAAACAACTGTGTGTAGAAAACTGAAAGATGGTACAAAAGCCAACATTTGTTGTCCTGTATCGATTGAATTCTATAACCGTTACATGGGAGGTGTAGATAGATGCGATCAAATGACATCTGTGTACGATCTCAATAGAAAATCCCAAAAATGGTGGAAGAAGGTTTACTACAAAGTTCTAATGATGGCACTGTACAATTCATATATTCTATATACTGAATTACATACCAGAAATAAGAAAATACCCTTTCTAAATTATCTGGTTGACTTAGCTGAGATTCTTATCAGTACTGGCCGACAAGGACTCCAAAGAAGAAAAAAACCAAACATGTTGGCCGTCGAAGCATGTCAGCCACAGTGATGAGTAATGTTGGCGACCATTTACCTATATTAGGAAAATCCAGTCGCTTGAGGTGTATAAGGTGTACACAACATAAGAAAGATAAACGTACCAAATTTATTTGTAAAATGTGTGATGTTCCGTTATGTAACGATTGTTTTACCCCATATCATGTATAAACATTTATTGTTCATGTATACTGTTGGGATATATAATCCCATGCATTTTTTACCAAAAAACAAATTAAAAATAATTTTTTTTAAATACATTCTTAGTTCTTTTAAATGCTCTAGAACAACAAACTACAGACAAATATATCAAATTTTAAAATAAACAAATCAGGATTGAAAGGGTTAATATGAATAAGTGCAGTTATTATGATAATTTCAAATATAGATTTACATCGGTAGATATAGTAAATTTTGGAAAATTCAAATTTAATAAAAAGGAGATTATCAATTATCTTCGATTGTATGTAGATAATCGACTTGGGAACAACACATATTATAGATATAGTACATTTATAGTTATACAGTAGCTTCAGTAGTGGGCATGCTAAGAAGAATTGCTAAATTTATCAGTCTCCCTCATCGTAAAATGGTATCAAATTCTCTAATAAACTCTAATAAACTTTGTACTGTCTATGAAGAATACTCCATATTGAATAAATGTATACTCTGCAAGTTTGTGTATAAATTCATAAATGTAAGCTTCCTCAAGAACTTATAAATGTTGCCCTAATACTGACCGATGATTTACATGACTATCATACTAGGCAAAGGGGTACTTTTCGAACAGGAAATATGCGAACTTTTGTTGCACAAAGAAGCATATACTCAAATGGACCGATATCGTTTAATAAGCTGACCAGTAATATGGAGGAAAGTCAACCAGGAAATTTTAAATTTGAACTGAAACAATTACTTTTTGATCACTATTTCAAGACCAGTTGTATTTAAATCATTTATTGTATATTTTGAATGAATGGAAAACATTTTTGTATTGACATAGATTATTTAATTAAATTTTGTAACTATAAATATATTATTTAACCCTCGGGCGGGCGCGCTTTTAAAAATCACAAGAGTGGGCGCACCGCGGCTCTTTATGTCGCAAGTAGAAAAACGTATAGAATAAACTCAAAAGATACAAATGTATGCTCAATATAAAGTTCTTAATAATCATAAACGTGTGATACTTAAAGCAAATCATTTATTTTAAAAAAGTATGAACATAAAATATTATTTTGCAACATAATAACGTAACAAATCGTATTCCTAAAAAAGAATATTTGTTCCTAATATGCCTATCTTCCACTTGAGTAAGTATACAATTTTGGCAGGTGGTAGTTATTTTGTGTAAAATTTAGAGGTCGCTGGTTAAATGAAATTAGAAATAATAATCGATGAAAAATGTAATAAATTACGAAAATTTGCTGGCTTTACTCATTGCTGTTATCTGTACAAAGGATAGAACTTACCATTAAAATATTGGTTTAATAATTATTGTAGCCAGGGAAGTAGCGTTGTATCTGTCTGTCGCGATCGACGCCCATCGCCGAGGCACAAATGAAAGAAACCGATAAACTCAAGATGATTACTGTACGCTTTCTCGATAGGAAGTGTTGTCTTGAGATGTTCAGAAACTTTCTGACCGTTAGGTGTATGGCGATTTTGAATAGCAATAATTTTAACTAAATGGTCACAGAAATATGATACTTTACAGCAGTTTCTGTGTTTACGACGTAATTTCCAAAATAACAAAGAGAAATCAGATTCTTTGCACTTAAAAACAGACTACATGTACTAGCTAGTTTGACAATAAGATTTTACTGAATAGAAGAAAATAATATTTTTAAAGTAAAT